TGTCACCTGAAGTTTCTGGCTTAGCGCGGCTTGCCGTTGTTTCTACTGCCATTAATGCCACCTGACGTCATGTCAGCTCACACCTTTTCAGGCGAGTCGTCCAGAGGATGGAATTGGGTTTGGCCGGCGCAATTGTTTAATTTATGAACAGTGCTCCAAGGCGGCTATGTGGGTTAATAGTTAATAATGGCTGCGCAATTAACCTGCAAGTGACCCTAATCGAGAGCAAATTAAATGCTATTAAAGGTGAATTTATAATTTATAATTAGCACAGGACAACTTATTAACTAAATGAGTTTCTTTTAGTTTGCAAAGATTTTACAAAAATGTTAGGACAACTGTTAAAATAGAGTATAAAAAAATGCTATTGTAATATGAATGTGTACATAATTTCTCTTTAAAAGGTTGCTTGATATTTTTATTATTCAACTTTAAAGACTTTTACTTCAACCAACGAGGGACTTAACTTCACCACAGCAATTAAAGAAAAAGTCTCTTGAAACTGTCATAAATCCAACTGACGGTCTTAAAGAAACGGCTACACCCACAGGTTATTATTTCTCATTATCTGGAGATAGCTCCCTGTCTTTGGCTCAGCTTCTCCTTCGGATACACTATCTCTCTGACCGGTTGCAGGTATTATTGATGAGGTCTCCCTTAACGAACTCCCAGACAGCTCAGCCAGCTCCTTCACATGCTCGTACTTATCGGGCATGTATAAAAGTCAGGAGAAATCGCCAGCGTTTTCAGTTGATTGCAGGTGTTGTTGCTGGTGTCTCTCTTTATGCCACACCCCCTGTTTTTATTTTTTACACCGTCCAACACCCACCGCCCACTGAGGTGATGGGTGTATCGGTGTGTGTGTGTGTGTGTGTGTGTATGTGTGAGTGGAGTGTGTAGTGCAGGTGGCAAAGCATAAAACTTCATTATTTTGTCGTGTCGCTTACGTGCGATGATGGCAATAGAATGCCGTTAACATCTGGCAGTCGCATCAGCGGCAATGATACCGCAAAATAGCAGCAGCGGCAGCAGAAGCAGCAGCAACAACAACAACAACAGCGGCATGCAATACGGCAAGGGGCAACAACAAAAGCAATATATCATGAGTCCAGCTTTTAGCAAGCTTTTCATAATCAGTGATGCATTGCCAACAGCCAGCAGCTGACAACCATGAAGAGCAGTATCTGCAGCAGGAGGGCTTACACTTGCCAAAAATCCGGCAACTTCAAAAAATATCTATAATCCGCATAGAAATTGATTCACTGAGTCCCCCATTTGGTTATTATAATGCTTGGCTGGTTTTAAACAAAATGCTTGGCAGAGCAGAATAACTTGAAGAACAGCAAAAATATTTTTCATTTCTGTGTTTAAGAAATGTTAACATAAAATATTCGGAGGTGAAAATTCAGATTCTAAAGCCTTACCCAAACTTTATCTGGTTTAGAAAGAACTTAAAATATTAAAAAATCATTGAAAAAATTTATAATGCTCTTTTATTTATCTCTATTTAAAAGGAAATCCCATTATCGATTTTCAATCTGTTTGTTTTTGTTTGTGTAAAAGGGCGCGAATGATGACAATGTGGCTGGCATGACATTGTTGGTAGTCCCGGTTTTTGCTGCTCTTGTTGTTATTGCCGCTGACATAAATCCATATTTTGTACAGCAAATTTCACGATTGGCCGGCAACAACAAAGGCAAATCATAGGTGGTGGAAAGCCAGGGAAATTGCTAAAAATTTCCAATTAACTTTAAAGTTGAAGGAGTGCCCAAGGAGAAATGCTGACCGTGGTGAATGACAATGACACCGTCGATTTGCCGTGCAGCATACCATAAATCCCATTTGAAGATGACAAAATATTCAGGGAACTCCACTAGCCGTCTGCCCCCGTCTCGCTCTAACCATTAGCTATCTCGCTTGCTCGCCGGTGGTGCTGTCTTTGTCTCGCCTTGTGTCCATCATTCTTCATTTAGTGACCCGACACGAGCGTAGGATGTCAGCAGCTGTTGGCCTGGCTCTCTGGCATCATCATCAACATCACCATCGATGTGGCTCCGTTTCCAGCACCTTGCCGCCCACTTTCGGGATAACGGTGGTGCAGTGGGTGGTGCAGTGGGTGGTGCAGTGGGTGGTGCAGAATATGGGGGGAGGGTGGATAGGTGGATATGTGCAACGCATGCGGAAAACAAACAATGCGCGACAGGCGGACAAACAAACATTCAACTGACAGCAGAAATGCGCCACTGAGACAGATGAATGGTGATGCTTGAGGGGTTAGAGAGGGACTAGGTGGTGCCGGAAAGTGGGTGGTGGTGCTAGAAGTAGAGGGGCGGGCTGTGTTGCCCGGCATCACTAGCCCCGTCGCACGAAGTCAACAGTCAAACGGAGCTTGCGGTTCCAGGACATTGCACCCTGCGGTATTTGCTCTCCATTTTTCGCCTTTAAAGTGTTGCCTACATTTCAGCTGAAAAAGGAAATATACTCGTATTGTCAGAGGTGGAAAAATGTAAATATAAATAAATATGTGAAAAACCGTGGCTTCTAAATGGTAAAAAATATTATCTGCATTCATGCAGTCAAAGAAGTAAGCTGAAAAATGAAATGCAAAATGCGGCATGAGTACCCACTTTTCATGAATAATATTATAGTTTATTTTGAGTAGAGTTGCAGGAAAGGCTTTAATAAAGTTTTTTGTTAAGGTAATTATTATATGAAAAAATACAAAACAATTATTTTACGTTCGAAAATGTAATGCGCATTGGTATTGTGACGTTTTTAACAATTTCAAATTAAGGGAATAAACGAATATACGAATTAAATAGTATTGAGCGCTCACTTTTCAACTGTAATTACAAGCCACCTTTTTTTGTATATAAAAATTCCACCTCTGGCAGTAAAGTATTCACTTTGAGCAACTGCAACAACTGCAACTGAAATCAAACACATCATCCTGGGCAGCTTTTAGCGGGCTGCCTCCCTCCTCTAATTACTTAATTACGTGCTGCACCATCGCTGGGAAACCCGACGTAGTAAAGGGCTGTTCGGTGGGCTTTCCGGATGAAAAGGGGGTGGGGTTTTTCAAACCGGACAGCGGAGAAGCCAGTGGAAGCCACCGAAAAAGCCGCACTGGTTACACCTGTGGCCAGACTAATCTATCATGTGCCATAAAGCGCTAAGCGGGATGCGAGGAGCCGGCTGCAACAGGAGAGCCATAGAAGCTGTCTCTTTAGTTGGCCGCCATTCCCGGCCATTTCCATCCATGCCGCTCCCCGCTTTTCCCGCTTTTCCCATTTTTCCAGCCTTCTCCTCTATTTTGCCGTGTTGATAAGCCGCATTGTGTCCGGTGAGTTGCGCACGCGGCTTTTGTGGCCAAGAGGACGGTGCAGGGCTAGAAATGTTTATGGCTCCGCGGGGAGCTCGGGCTCAGTGTTTGCCAGCGTGTGAGGTGTATCTCTGAGTGGGATAACACATAGGAACAAATATCTAACTATGATAATATTAGAGAAATGCAATTTTAACCGGAAATAAACCTTTAAACAAATTGTGTCACCTAAAGAAATGAAGCTGTGGCTTAAATTAAAAAAGGTTCTCTGTTAAAACTGTAATTTTATTATTTTTTCTTTTTGTGGAATCTATTTTTTATTATTTTTCTAAGTGTTCTTGTGTTTCTGCGTGTAAGAATAGGTGTGGCGGTGTGCGTGTCAGTATGTGGGTGTGACTGCCGTGGCGCAGTTGTTATTGGCCAAAAGAGCTGGCCATACTGATCCCAACGAAGCGTCTAAAAGCCTTTTGTGCCTTCTGTCGTTGGAATGATGAACACTGGTGACTAAGGGCCAAAAGATGTTAAACAACGGACTTTGGCTTACCTTCTCTAGTTTTCTTTGTGTGAAAATAATTTTCCCACTCCTCTTAGATGTATTATTTATTTTTCACAAGCAGTATTAATTCCAAAAAAATAACGATTCCAATTTATGGAAACATAAATATTTGCACATTTTATATTTTTGTAATCTCGGCACGGAATCATTTGCGACCGTTTATCCTGCGGCCTAAAAGCACACAATGAAATATGCTGAATTTGGTTTTGGCATGAAAAACTACTGCATGCTTTTGGGTGCAACAATTTTTCTCTCCGATAAAAATGGAGAGGGAAAACTTTTTAATAAACTATTTTGCTGCGTCGACAGCTGGAACTTTCCTTACTTGGTGACTTGCCAGCACCCGAAAAATTTCTCCTTTAACACATACATATACGTATAGATATGCAGATAGAAATCAGATTTCTTTTCTGGGGCACAGAATGAAATTGTCAACATAATTCGCAGTGAGCCATGAATTTTTTGCTGCCGACCGACAAAAACAAATGCCAAAAAGGGAAAAATTATTCAACCGAAAGCAAAAATTCCCATAACCTTTCCGTGCAACAACAAAGTAAAATTTGTTGTAAGCGTCAATAATGCAAATTGATAACGCAGGGGGGAAAATATTCCTTTGGGCAGGGCTCGTAAAACCAATTGGGAAAATGGCTGTCGGGTAAAATGTTTAAAAGAAATGGGAAACACGATTGTCACAAGATATTTTTAAGGCAGAAATCGAAGGTGAGAAGGGTTTTGCAAACATACAAAACGATAAAATTAATGGGAGTAATTGAAAAAAAGAAAAGGTAAAGGAAAGGCATTTCGAATAGTCTTTTCTTGACATTGTGTAAAAAACAAAGTTCTTTAAAATTCAACAATATAAAAATTCTTAGCAAAGCAAAGTAAAACAACACAAGTAATTATATAAATATTTTTTTTTAATAAATTACTTTAAACATTGGAAACAAATTTTTATGAAGGGGTATTAAAATTTAGATTGTCCCATTTTCAGAGTAAATAAAACAAAATGTACAAAGGGAGCAATCAAATCAATGGGATACCATGAAAATAATTGAAAAAGAAAGATACCACAAAGGATGTAGGTGCCTTGATTAATTTAAAATCAACAAAAACATAAACATGCCCAGTATTTCGGATGTAAATTTCGTAAAAATTTTTCATCTCCCTTGTTTTTAATTTTTTTTTGATTGTGCACAATACAATTTTTTCTGCCCCAAATTGGTTGAGGGAAGGCTTTTCTTTTTTTCTCTCTATTTCTTTTGGTGGCCAGGACTCAAGTCGAAACCAAAGAATATATAAAACAAACATCGTCGGTCTGGAATCAAACATTACCCGCTGCCTGGGAAGCAGTGGTAACCAGTTCAATGGGATAGGATACGAATGCCTTTAGAGTTCTGGCCGCCGCCGATGGAAGTGTTTCCCTGGGCCGCAAGTGCTGCTGATGTTGCAACACGTGCTGCTGCTGATGTAGCGGCACTCCCGGCGTAATCCGATGCTGATCGCCGAAGAACGGATGCTTCAAAGCCTCCTCGGCGGTAATTCGCTTTTGGGGATTCACCTCCAGCAGGCGGGACAACAAATCGTATGCATTTGCGGGAAACATGTCCAGGCCATCGTAGTTCTCCAAATGGTGACCACTATTGTGGCACAGGCAATTGAAAGTGGGCTGTTCACAGCTGCGGCACATTTCGGTGCTGCCATCGGGCCTGCGATATTTCCGATGAATTTCGGGGGCCAGGAAAAAGTCCGCGTGCCGAAACCTCATGCAGACCCGCCGCAAATCCAAGGTATTCACCTTTTGCGCCAGTAAAATCAGCCTGTCCAGCATGAAGGCAGTTTTGCGCACCGGCATATCGCCAAATAAATTGATGATTTCCGCCAGGGCAGCGCAATCGTGGGGAGCCTTGAAAAATGGATGCACAGCCGATAGCAAAGATAGCATTATCACACCAGCAGCCCAAATATCCACCGCAGTGGTTTGATGGGGATACCGGAGGAGCACCTCCGGCGGTCGATATCCTGGCGTTCCGGCTCGCGAGGCATGCGTATCCTTCTTCAAACTGTTGGCAGCTATCACATAATTGTTGGGATCCACATTGGGGCCCATGAGTCGCAGGCGATTGAGCAATCTCAAGGTGTCTGCCCTTTGATTGGCCACGTCCCTCTTGGTCAAGTGGACACCAGCCTGCTCGCGGAGCTTCTGGATGCAGGGAGGTCCTGCCGGGTTGTAATCTACACCGCCTCCACCCGATGCCCGCATCCTTCGAAGCGCCATGAAATCGTCGTCCTCCGCTTGAGCGGAATTTCCATCCGGCAGCATTAGCCTTCGTCCGTTTTCCATGTCCCTCAGAAAACTGAATCCTTCCGGGGAGCTGAGTTCGTTTGAAGTCATAATACTGCCATCAGCGGCGATCCTTTGAGCCAAACCGAAATCGCAGAGCAAAAACTTCCCCGTTCGGCGGTTGAATAAAATATTACTCGGTTTCACATCACGATGGATAACATTGAATTTGTGGACATGTCGGAGGGCGATGAGCAGGTTCCTCAAGTAATCCCGAATCTCTTGAAGGCTTAGACTCCTGTAAATGTCGTGGAATCGATCATGAGTCATGTAGGGCAACACAAAGGCCACATTCTCATTGTATCTGATGCAGCAGTTAATGCCAATGACGTTGTCCACTCCGCCAATGCGAAACATGCACTCCAACTCACGGAGGATTCGCTCCGGATGATTTGTGGGATTGTGATGTTTGATGGCGAATCTTCTTCTCTGGGTTTCCGACAAACACCTTTCCCGCTGCAGAGTTCCCAGCAGAACTGAGCTGAAGGTTCCACTGCCAATGCGACAATGAACATCGAAGATCTTGTTGATCTCCGGAATGCTCTTCTGCAATTCCGTCAATGCCTCCTCGTTTTTATCTACTGCTTGCGCGTTTTTCAGCTCCATGGCATTTATTTCTTTGTTGGCATTTCTACGATTGATTTTGGCTAGCTTATCCGTGAGATCGACAGAGGTTTGCGGTAAAACACTATGTTGATGATGATGATGAGTTGCAGAGACGGATGGCTGAGTTCCAGAAGTCATCATAACTTGCTTGTCATTGTAGTACTGCCTTCTTTGATAACTGCTCAAGGAGTTCTTCCTTGTCGATTCGATCCTTTGAACAGCACTGCCCACATTGGTCGAGGACTTCTCCTGGACCCCCATCCTCAAGCCATATAGAGATTTCGACACCATCTGCTGATTGTGATGATGATGATGATGATGCATGTCCTTCTTGTCCATTTCATCAATTAGAATTTTCGTAAACATCGGCACCACCCATTAACAGTTCGGTGTCTTAACAAACGGGGCACAAATTGTTCCTTTCTTAACTGGGCTAAGATCTTTTGGTGCCGCTCTTCGTGTCTTGAATTTTATTTGGATTTTCGTTTTCGGGTTCGAGCGCTTTTAATCTGGAGCGCCAAACCGCGATGTAAACACAATAATTTCGAATGTATCGGAGGTGTTTGTGTTCGAATTTTGTGCTGACAAGTTACTAAATAAGAAAAACGATGTATTTGTGTTTTTTTCGAATCATACTTTGACAGCAAAGGCGAACCTTTTGATTTTTTAAGAAAAGGTTTCTTAAACTAAAAAAGCATTAAGTTGAGAGCTGGTCACTTTAACCCTTTCATGCCCACTGTTGCCTACAGGCAACATTGACTTTTGAAGTTTAAATCGGTTACGATTCAAAATTTTTGTGGATTTTTTTTATAGGCGATTCCCCTTATTAATGTTGTTTAATTTTTGGTAATTTTGGCGAATGCAGCTGCAGCGTGTGCTGAGTTATCACTTATGATTCGAAGCGACCACAGCTGCCGAAAAATTTTACCAAAAGTGTCCGTGCAAATAGTGCGATTAACTAAAATTAGTGACAAATACTAATAAAATAAGTACGTACATATCTTTAAAACAGGTAAGACTATGATAAAAGTATAAAGTTGGGCTTGAAAATTGGTTTATAAAGAGTGTGGATTTTTTTAAAGGCCTAAAGGCAACATTGCAGTAAGGACATACCAAAGGACTTAGAGTATCGAAAATCGATATGAACGTTACTTGGGGTTCCTATTAATCATTTATGGCGTTAAATATTTTCTATGTGTCCCCAGATTAATTTGGGCATGAAAGGGTTAAATAAATGCCTTATTAAATCGTCTTTAGTTTGCCGACTTTTTGGACTTGAAGCAATAAAACCTCTTTTTTCAGACACCTTTTTTGTGTCTTAGCCATTTATATTTATGGCAGGCGACTCACTTACTAGCTCTTCATATTTCGCTAGTTCCCAACTCCATTCATTTCCGAATATATGGAAAAAGTTCCTGGGAAACCCTCTACCAGATGTTGCCTTTGTTGAGTTTGATTGCCTGCATGGTGTCGCCTCCCAGTGAAAACCATTACTCCTTCTCGTTGTTGTTGTTGTTGTTGTTTTGGTGCATGCCATTTACCGTTACAGGACTCGACCCTAAAATTGTCCACCTAGCTTAGTCAAAATTTCGCAGAAAACAAAAAACGGTGTCAACATCAGCTGCCTGTCCACTTGTTTTTCACTTGATGCTCGAAGTTTTCACTCGGCAACAGCTGACATTTTGGGCGTTACTAAACTACCTGTAAGTCCTCCACTTCTTTGTAACACTAACACTTCCATGCCCAAATCTCCACCCACTTTCTAACTGCAGACCAACCAATTTTGAACCCATTGGCTTGAAAGGTTGAAGTTTCCCCATTCAAAGTACTAAAATATTGTTTCAATAAAACATCAACATTTTAAATGAGAGTTAAAGAAAGAAACGTGAGCTTCAAAAAATAGTGGTTACACCTTTTTGCACTTTCTGGGGCCATAACTTTTTCAATTTTAATCCGTTTTCAAAGCATACCTCCAAACGTTTGATATCGCATCCCTAAACAAACTGCATTCAAGGTTTTCCATTTCTCGAGGGTCGATTTTTTGAATCTTGTTCATGTCGGAAATTTGAAAGTTAAAACGGTTTGCCAAGAGGACACCCAATATCTCCTTCCGTTGCCCATAACTTTTCCAATTTTAGACATACCTCTAAACGTTGGTAATCGCATCCCTAAACAAACTGCATTCAAGGTTTTCCGTTTCTCAAGGATTAAATTTTTGACGCCTGTTCATGTCGACAAAATCAAAGTTTTCCGAAGATTCCCAAATGTTATTATGAACTTTACAGTAGCAAACTTCTAATTGTTCGTTAGCCAGCTTGCTTTAAATTTCAATTGTGTAATCTTTTTGCAGTTTGGTTTACTTGTGATTAAATTTGTATAAATCAATTGTGTCAATTGCTTCTAAAACGACCTCTTTAGAAAGCCATTCGGCTGTCAAAAGTATACGTTTAAATTAAGTGTGTTCACCCATTACTAAAGTTGCAGGAATAGGAGAAGGTATTGCGCGGGAAGTAATTGCCCAACAGGGCGAGCTGGTTAAATGGCATTTAAGAGCAGGAATTACAATTACCGAATGCTTTCCTTGGCGCTGTTTTCCTTGGATTTTCCTCGCTTTTCGACCCACACTTTTCCGGCGCAGAACCTCCTGTTTATTCATTGCCGGCAGTCGAGTGCAACTGGCCTTTTCGAAGTTTGTGCAAAACTATTGTCAATTGCGAGCGGGCCCAAAGAGAGTTGGCCCCGGGAATTCTCGAATGGCCCAAACACAATGCAGAACAACACTTGGCTGCTTCCCCTTCCGCTCACTTTAGTTTGAAAGGTGGTGGTGGGTGGTGGTGGGTGGTGGTGCTGGTGGTGTTGGTGGTGTGAATCCCATCGCCGACCGACAAAAACTTCTTCATCAAGCGAAACTCCCTTTGACCGAATTTCCTTGGCGCCTTCCGCTGTGGCAAGCGCCAAACGGAACTTTCCAGCCAAGTCAGTTGGGATTAGCCTTGATGGCTAAAAGGAGCTGAGTGCGAAGGACTTTGCCGGGATCCAGGTTAGACACTCGTTTGGTGGCAAACTGCAAATTAAGCTCGACAAAACGATTTGCTTAGATTGCCGTGTACAAATAGGTTTTGGGTTTTCGTTTGCACCAAATGCTTTAGTAATGAGGCTGTTTAAGCGAAATTGTTTGGAACAAGGAACAGTACAGTTGCCAAGATTTTATCCTTTAAGAATATTACTACTGATACTTGTTCAGATTTTCTAGTTATTTTATGGAAATTTCATAAAGATAAAAATAAAGTGAAAACCATTATAATGAATTCAATAAAATGAATTTTGTTGACTTAATTTCTTCTTTTTTAGTATTATTATTTTATATAATGTGTTGATGTCTTATGAACTTTAGTAACACATAGATTGTAAAAACTCGCTTTAAGTATTAAAGTACTGCCTTATGCACTTTTTTGTTTATCCATTAGCTTTTTGTGAAGATTGGTCATATTTCATTTGACTAACTATCCACTTTCGACTGCAAGCCATCTAAGAAATTGCCCAAACTGTATCACTTGCTTTTTTGTTCAATAACAACTTCTCTGCACTCAAACCAAATTATGTTATTTTGAAATAAATAAATGTTTATCTATCATTTTATTTGCATTTTATGTGCAACTTATTTCCTATTGGCTCCACAGATAAGTTACAACATATATTCTGCAAGCTAATATTAATTTATCAAGTACAACTTATAACCATTTCGGTTAATTTTTATTGAATTACTTTGAATTAAAAATGTTAGAGATTTTCTTAGTGAATTATATATTTGATTAATATAGGATAACTAGGTTTTCTTAGTGCATTTCCACGACTTTAGGCTCACAGTCGGCGCCTTTGTCTTGCAGTTTTGGCCAATCAATTTCGCCTACGTTACTCGCAACACGTTGCGGTTAGCAGAGGCGTGCTTGGGGGGATTTCCGAAATGGAAATGGCTCGGGTGGACGGGAGTTGGTTTAGGCACTCGAAATCTTGTATGGGGCAAACACCCGTCGCGCTGCTTGTTGATTGTTTTGCCATTTTGCGGTTGCAATTGATGGCACAGGTGCTGGAGAATGTTGCCGTGCCTCGCAAATGACCGCAGTGTTGCTGCAAAAAGGGGTAAAGGGGGTGTGGACACTTCAATGGGCCGAATTCGGGAACTTTGTCGGTCTTAAAGCCCACAGAAGTCCCATTTTGGCAGCAGACGGTCGCTGGTTGTGTTCCCAACCGAAAAGGTAAGCCCATGGAAAATGGCCAATACGCAAGGCACTTCTTTGGCTTTCCTTTTGTGGGGTTGGAAAGTCCAGAGAATGGGCAATGTTTCGGGCACGTGTTCTGGTCCGTTTTTGGCCAAGTTAGGAGATCCCCTTTGTGAAACTCTGTCAACTTTATTGCTTCGGTCAAATTAATACCCTTTGTATTTCAATCCATGTTTCATAAAATAAAACTGTTTTACAACTCATAACTTTAAAGGTTTGATGTTTGTTCTAACTTATTTAATATTTTTTGTTAATTTTTAAAATTACAGGATATCTTAAAATCGAACCCAAAACTACCTTTTCTTTCCTGTACCTTTTGTTAGGCTGTTGTTACTGAGTCTCAGCCTGAGGTAAGCCGAAGTGCAATTTAATTTCCCCACCGATGATTGATGCTACCATCTGCAGGCTTCACTCTTCGGGGTCCATTCCCGTCGCCTCCTTTTTCGTTACAAGGATAATGCCGCAGAAATAGCTAACAAATTTCTGCCTGCCAACACTCCGAGGACAACGGAGGGATAACCACAAACAGCAGCAAAGGGAAACTTTTTATCGCCAGCCAGGTTAACTTTTAAGCAGACCAACAAGGACCGCCAATTCAAGAGGAGCGCAGGACATTTGCCGGAGATAAACAGATTTATTGTGCTTAAGGACGCACATTAAACGGGGCAGAGGGACTCGGGCTGAAAGCCGAAAGACCAAGTACAAGGACAGCGATAAGGACTGCGGAACTGCCAGGACTGTTTATAGATTTTCGGCGTCCCCAATTAGCGCAAGGGAAAAGCGGCGAAAACGGGGGAAAGCGACGGAAATTAGGCGAATAAAAGGAGCACAGGGACAGTGCTGCAGTGTCCTTCCAATTCCCTTCGCTTTAGTCGCTTCTGGATAGTTGGAATATAGCTTTAACACGGAGGAAAAATGTTTAAATAACAAGGAGCTTTAAAATTTAAAATTAATTTTTTCTTTTTTATGAATAACATAAAAGTTGTGATTGCTATAAATGAAAAAGGAATTGGACTTAAATTATTAAATGTTTATTATGAATTCAATGGGATTAAGCGACTCCTTGAAGCTCGAACTGCAACTTTTTGCTCCTCTCCTGTCGCCAAGTTGTGACAGTTGGCAAAGGATAAGCGCAGGCAGCGGGGACAAAATTAACCACAAATGAGGACAGTGCCAAGAAATGTGGAACTTTCGCCCATCGAAGTCAAAAGCAGGTGAAAAGGATGTCGCGGCTTTGTAGCGCTTGGCTGGCCAAGGATTTCACCGGCTTCCTGGACAGCCACTTGCGGAGAACTGCGGCCACAAATGAGCTTAGTTGATGTTCCACTCCTCCTCCCACTGAATTTCACCGAGTGCCGTTTATGCGATGGGTCTGCCGCTGTTTTGGAGATTACGTTCTAAATGGCCTTATTGCTAATGTTTCGGCTCTTATTGAATTAGTAACAGGAATCAGGAGTGGTGTCAAAATTAAGATGGCTTCGCGAGGGGGGACTCGATTGTTAGTTTGGGTTAATGGGAAAAGTATTTTAAGGGAAAATGAGGATTTGGGTTAGATTAGAATTCAATGGGATTGGTACACCAACAACAAAGATTTAAATTGTTCTTTGAATTAAACCACAGAGTTGCTTCAAAAAAAAAAAATAAATAAATAAAAAAAATAAAGAGGATTTAAAAATAGTCTTACAACCTACTTTGCCTCTCCTGAAAAAAATAAGACTACTGTATTATCTCAAACTAAGCTAAGACCCTTGGGGTTTTCCGATTGTTGGTATAAACCCAGCTGCAACTGCATTTTCCCACCGACTTATGCTCTTCCTTACATTTCCCTTAACCTTCAGGCCACCTTTAGAGCCAACTAATAGCCGCAACGATGGCGACTTTGTCACACTTCAATGGGCCACAACAGCAATAAAAACAAATAACAACTGAAAAGTTGTCAAGGCAAAGCCAGTCTTCGGAGTGGGAAAATCATGGGGAGGGAAAATCCGAGAGTGAACTGCAATTTCCACACCAAATCGAAGTTGCTTGTGTTGCCGCTGGCATTGCTTTTAAGCTTAGTTAAGAAGCACTTTGAAGAGCTTTTCCTAAAGCTGCACCAATGCCCTTGCCTCCGGGTTTTCCCCTGCCTCCGGTGGAAAATTGTTGCTTCATTGCATTTTATGCTTGTTCAAGTTGTCGTCGGAAATTGCTTATTTATTTGAACTGCTCGCTTGGCTAACAAAAACGAACTAAGCTCGGAAAAAAGGAAATCAAACATCTAATGGCATAATTCCCGGCCTGTCGCACTCGAACCTGATGAGTTTCCCTGTCCGACATTCGGGCAATAAATTTTCCCTGCAAATAGCTCTGTTTTTCCACTGCACCGACCGACTGACTGACAACTTGTCGTTTGTTACTTCAAAATTCAATGAATATTTTCTTGGCTTCCGACCAAAAGGGGAACACGGATGGAATGGGGAAACCATTTTATTGACTGCATTTTCCACATGGGATTCGGGCTATTCTGCCCCTTGGGCCACAAGTGAAAGTGGCTGCATATTTTTTGCATGGATTGCTGCAGGTACTATAAATTTTCGAAACTTGTCAACTGCTTGCTTTCTTCCTGAAAAACTCATTCAATTTCCAGACCCTTAAATTCTTAATTGCAGAGGGAGACGGCGAACGGTCTGCAAAAATTGTTTACACAAATATCAATAACAATAAATTGTAGATTTATTGGAGGTTGGGGCTTGGCGAAGAGAGGCAAACACAAAATACAAATTAATATATTTTCAGGAGCGAAAAACAATTTGCCTCTAAAGAACATTTTCTGAAGCCCAAGGCCCCACAACAATTTGTCTTGCTTAATCTCAGTTCATTAATTTAAAGTGCTACTTGCAGAAGAACCTAGAAATACTCAATGGAGTTGGTCAAAGAATTTTCCCCTCAGCTCTGGAAATTGTCAAAACATCTTTCTGGCCGAATTTGCGGTTTGGTTTTCTTTCGGACCAAAATTTTACCGTTCGCACAAAGTTGCTCACACAAAATTTACTTCCATTTGGCTAAGCATTTTGCAATCATTGGCAGCAGCCGTTTTGAGGATTAGGGTCAACTGGCTGTTGTTGTGTCTTTAATAATTCATGAGCCATCTCTGCGGCTGACCTTCTCAATTTTTGGGGTCAATTTATTCTGGCCCAGGAGCAGGGCCATCACTCCCCAAGTAATCCATCAGCCAAAGTTGCTCAAGAGCTGATGACCAGACAGACAGAAAGTCGAGCCCATAATTCTGTGTAGGTGTGGCATTTATCAAGGGCTTACTCTGATTTGATGTTCTGGACAAAAGACAAGATTCGTTGCGGTAGTGAGTGGTCTTAACAAAAGGGGGAGTTGGACATTAAATGTTCGAGATAATTATAACTGAAACAGTAGGCAAACTAATAATTTTCCAAATATGTTACTAATTTAATTTAAAATGTAGAATAACACTTGTTTCTTGCAACAAATTTAGGATATTTAAAACTAAGATTTACTTTAAAATCCACTTAAAGCATTTAATTTATAGCAAACAAGTATTTAACGCAATCGCTTTCCTTTCGACGCCCTCGTCTTTTTATCGCCATCTTAATTTCATCAAATTAAATTGGCTTTCCCGACAGCTTGGTTTTTGATCTCTAACCACCTGGCACGCCCTCTGCCACGCCCCCGCCCACTGCCACGCCCCCAGCAAACAATCAACTAAAGCAACACGCACTCATACCACCACATCCATACATACATACATACAAGCGAACGCACACAAGTGCGCTCCAATGATTCAGACTCCGGTGTCGGCTACTTTGCAGCTGCCAACGCCTTCTACATTTCACGCTGTAAGACACCCAACAAAAACTACACTGACAGAAAAGTATTAGATAAGATTATGTTTGAACCGATTACATGTAACCGTGTTATTTAAAAATTCCTACTATAAGATGAATAATCTTATTTAAATTGAAATTGACAAGTAAAAATAACCATAAATGTTGTTCAAGAAAATAAGCAAATGGTCATGAAGTTTTTAATCAAATTTTGGGCATTGAAAATATAAAATACATTTTCTTTACCAATTTTTTTTTTTCAGTGAGATTGCTCCCTTTTTCAGCGGCCCACATTCCCATACCATTTTTTCTAACTGCCATCACCTGCAGACGACCCCGGGTAACATTTTTTATGCGTCCTATTTGCAGCTTTCATGCTTCGACTGTGTATTCCAGCCTCTGGCATTTCAGCGACGACACAAATGCAATTTTTTTGCTCTCGCTAAAAAATTATGCAGGTGGGTCGAGGTAGAAGGGTTTGGAATCGGAGGCAACTGGGTGTTCATCACATTTTTTAAAGTAAATAGCCAAAATTGAAGCAAAATAGCAGTTTGATTTATTGCACCACCTTAGGCATTGAATGCTAATTGAATATTTTCATTATAAAATTAAAATCGTGATTAAATTTTTCACTAAAAAAGTTTGTGTGTATAACTGGGCGAAATAATTTCTAAAACTTTGATTTGTTACTAAGCTTGTATATTGGCATCTGGCAAATAATGATTAAACATCATTGAACTGAAAATAAAAAAAAAAACCAAAAATTTACTTTTAAGAAAGAGGAAAAGCTTATATCGAGCGAATCATGGGAAAAAGCAATGCAAAGGCTCAACACCAAAAAGAAAACCCCGCACTCTATGCAAACAAATGCAACTAAACATGCATTCCTTTTTTTCGAGCGAGTGGGTGGATACATACATGTGGGTACATCTGTGGGTGAGTGTGTCTATTTGTAAAGTTTCCTTGCCCAAACGCAAGCATTTGTTGGTTTCACTCCTATTTTAACCATTTTTCCCGTTTCCAAACTCCAGGAGGTGCTTCATTCATACTCTTTTGAAAATGGCTGTTTCACTTGTCTTTAAAGTTTAAAGTGAATACTTTAAAGAACAATAACTAACCAAAAACATGTTATATTGGCATATATCTTATATATACAAATGTTATAATTTTCTCTAATACAATTTATGAAAGTTATACATATAAATAATCCTTTGAGAGTATTTGATTTTGTACTAAAACCTCAAGCCTTTTCGCTGCTTTCTTTTTGTCTCACATTGCGTCGCCGACAGTTTTTAAAAAACTGAAAGCGCTCGACTCGCCAGTTTGCCCATGCAAGTGCCACGCCCACTGCCACAGCCACCATCTGCCGCCCACCATTGGCAGCAGCAACGGTAGCATAAATTTCCATTACCGTTGACAAATATTTACACATCGACCTCAATTCATATTCCTTTTGATGCTGTTGCTTTTAGTTTTGCCAGTCGGTTGGGAAGGGCGGGCGGTGTGTGTGTGTGTGTGTGTGGGGTTGCATAGGGGGCGTACCACTTTTTGCACTGCTGCAGCAATTGCTGCTGGCTATTAAAAGCTGCATTTAGCACTATTCGCTCACACCATGTCGCTCTAAGCGCCATATGGCCATGCACTGCAATGAAACTAAAAAAACTTGTCTAGAAAATGTTTTAATCAGCATCCTCCAAAATTTGAATAAATAATTCAAAACACTCAATATGATATAGCGTTTTGTTTTTTTCAATAAAAATTATTTTAATTAGCCCTCTTTATTTTCAGTGTAGTTCGACTGCTAATTTAGCTTTCTCTCTACGAGCAGGCATATCACTTTACTTCTATTAATCCACACAGACTGTCGAAAACAGACAGCCGTTCACAAATCAGCCTAGCGATTCGGGTCGAAAAGCTAGAAAACCACCGAAAAAATGTTTCAAACCGCTGGTTACATTTTGCTGCTAGTTTTGTGGAAGGACATGGTATTTTCCAAGGCTGAGCCCCACAACAAACAACTGACCATATTTGTGGAAGCCGGGCGCCAGGACTGCTTTTATCATCCGATTGCCGCCTCTGAGAACATTAAAATCGATTATCAGGTGATACACGGAGGTCTCGGCGAAACTCATATCAATTTTAACTTTATGGATCCAAGTCGACGCTTTCTGATCAATGAAATCAAACAAGGAAAGGGAAATCACAAAGTGGTGGCCAATGAAAATGGCTCTTATAAAATCTGTTTCGATAATACCATAAGCACATTCAACCAGAAAATAGTGTCCTTTACACTTGAAGTTACTCCTGCGGATCGAGAGGAGCAGGAACTTCGAGCTCTGCGCCATGAAATGATGACCGATTACCACTTCGATGTGGCCTATACTGGAATAGATAATTATTTGGGCAAGATTCAGGTGAACCTCATGAGATCGCGACAAACTCAGGATTTTATTCGAGCCATCGAAGCTAGAGATCGCAACGTGGCCGAATCCACGTATGCCATGGTTAATAACTGGTCTTGGGCTCAGTTTTTGTCCATGATATTTGTTGGCTTGCTGCAGGTTCTGATGGTGAGAAGTATCTTCCATACACATGGAACCTTTTACAAGTTCTGGAAAAGCTTTTAAACTACTTTGCTCTTGAATGTAAAAAAAAAATAATATTTGTGAAATAAAAGATATACAAAAACATCAAATGATCCAATGAATTGGTTTTTTTTACAATTTTTGTTAATTTAAGGAAAATTAATATACACCTTACCCATTTTCGTTCTTTAATTTTTTACAATGAAAAATGTAATTTCAGATTTGAAATCTTGAAGTCCCTTTTTAGGAGGTTTCTTCCTCATTTAGCTGCTCCTTGTGTCTGTTTCCTTCCGACGGCAATTTGCTCTTTCCGTGTTTAATTTTTCGCGCTCCTTGGGCTTGGCATTACCTTTTGCCACGCCCCTTCTTTGTCCGCCCTTCGCTGCAGCGCATTGTTGGCGTAATTAACAACTGCGGCTTCCGTTCGCCATTGTTTACTCAGCGCCAGCCAGCGTCGCAGTGTTAATTACTCCCCGGCGTCTCGGCGACTCCCTTAACCCTCATGTGCCCGCCGTCCTTCTGGGGGCCCACTGACACAGTGGCTCACTTAGCCTTCCGGCTGTCGGGTTGCCGTTCAGCCCTAGTTTTTGGGCGAGGCCAGCAGCGATGACAGCGCTCCCCGGAGCCGCTGAAAGGTGCAAATTAAAGCGCCACCTGTGGCCAGTCAAGTGTCCCAACATTGCAGGTGTACCCAAGGTATGTATATGTGTGTGTGTGTGTATTCATGTGTGTGCCAAAATGATTATGAAGAAGGGTGCACAAAAAAGCCAAGGAATCAGAAAACTCCGGATAACTTTTAAGGTGTAACGAAGCCAAAATAAAATAAATAATGTCATTGAATAAAACAAAAATACAATCAAATAAAATACAAATTTTAAGATTCGAAATTTTGCAAATGTAAAAAGTCTTAAGATTATACTTTTTTTTTAATAAATAAACAATGGTTTCAAGATGATAAATGAATACTGAAATCCTTAAGGTGTTTAACTTATAAATGCAATAAAAGTAGGAAGCATTCTGAACAACATGGATACGTTTATTAGTATGTAAAATTCCTGCGGTTTTACTCCAAAAATTAAATTTTTGGAAATACGTTTTACATTAATTAAGCTCCGCCCTTTGCCGGTGCTTAAAATGTCACTCCAAGCGTATTAATTTTTGGTTGGCAGACCCGCCCAAGCATGGACACACACGAACCGCTTAAGGACTTCAGCGCAGTCCTTGTTCCTGTCATGCAAGGAATCCATCCGGGGAAACTTTTCAGCAAAAAAAAAAAAGTGAAACGCACACACATGTATGCTTGTTTCTTGGCAATTTAACGCTCTTTATGGGCAGTTTTACTTTACACATAAGTGGCATTTTAAGGCCCGTAGGGAAATCGCCGGGGGAAGTGGGCTAACGATCGTTTATCAGTGCCACATGAAATGCAAAGGAAAGCCGCTGTTAATTTCATTACGAAGGCTGCAAAATCGTAAAAAAGACGTTTAATTGCAGCTGCCAAACGATGCAAAGGCGGCGTCGGCCATTTTAACGATCAAATTATGGCCGAGAAGGAGTTTGCGCCGTCCAAAAGAGAAGTCACAACTCCAGACAGATATCCCCGGCAGATAATGTCCTGTCCATTTTGGCCCTGGCGCCAGCTGTCATCGTGCCGAGTTTAATTCTCCACCGCCAGCTTAATTGGAAGGGATGGCCCGGGTGACAAATGTCTTTAAAGTTTTCCCCTCAACCTTTAGCGCCGCATCTGTGACTACCAGCATGGAAATTCAACCCACTGCACAAGTAAAAGATTAGAGCCTTGTAATCGCCTTTAACACACATGAAATGTATTTTGCACAAATTGAAAATCTAAATAAACGAAAACCAGTAGAGCATATGTTTTGCACAAACAGACGAAGGCGTCGATTGACAAAATATTAATGGAAAAGTCACAGAAGTGAAATTTGATAGCCACTGAGAAAAAAATTAAGAATTCAATTAGAGCTGATTTAAAACTATAAATATTTGTAGAATTAAGCTGTGTAAGTATTTGATATAGAAGAAATTAAAGAATAAATACCTTCAGATGCTCAAATATTAATTTAAGCAAATATTTTCAGTTTTATTTTTTCTTTTTGCTAAGACATGAGGCAAACCATAAAGATAACAGGTTTCGGGTTCACAAAGGCCATCAGGTGAAATCAGAGGCTTGGGGACAAAAAGCACACCCGTGAACAGGTAAATGCAAAACACATTTTCGGGGCAAAGGTTGAAAGAAATGATGACAACAACAGAAAGCAGAACAACATATGTAGTTAGATTACGATTTGAGGCTCTGTGGGAGGAGATAGAATTCACAAGCTGCAAAAACTAAAACTAGAAGCTCTCACATGCATTCAGACAATTTTAAAAGCCGGTAGAGAAAACTTTGAAGATTAAACCATGTATTATTTTTTGTGTTCGGAATACTAAGTCCTCCTTTATGATTTCCCTTCTGTGTAAAGCATCATTAGCGCTCATAACGAGAACAATGTGTCGGTAATGTAATTACTTTGCTTTTTGCATCCAAAGGGAAATTTGAATGGAATAATATCGATTGCATATTCGACAGACAATGTGGATGCAGTTTGCAGTCAAATGAGGGCAAATAGGATTATTTTAAATTATCTAAGGTTTAAGTTTCTACTGTTTAGTTAAGATAAACTAAGCATTAAGGAGGAAACCAAGGTGAAGAATTTATGTTAGTTAGTTCAATAAGTTTTATACATTCTCTAGGACGACTTTAAACAATTTCGTTTGCTCCTAATTGTAATTAGCGTCTTAAAGTATTTTTGAGAGCTAATTTGTGATTCCATTTTATCACAAAAGTTTCGTTGTGTCCCTTTCCCCACTCGACTCCGTTGGCTTTCATCTCGAAAGCAATCCCATTAAGAATGCAAGTTGTGAGCACATAAGAAAGGGAAAGAGCACGGGACTTGTTCATTATGCATGACAACTGACATATCAAGACATATGGTAGGAGCTGCCAAGAACCTTAACACCCGACTGCCATGCCCTGAATTTCCATCCCCACTCACGCGCCGAAGAATATTCTTTCTTTGGAGGGGGCGTTTTAATTGCAAACTGGCACACAAGAAACCCATTCGCGTTGCCTTGGCAGTCGCTTCCAATATTGCCTTCTGACCATGGCCATTAGGGACGGTCAAGTGGCCAAAACGCCCCCTCCCCTTCACTTTTCCTACCGCCCCGCCCGCCGACAATCAGGCGAACAAATTGGGTTACTGCTCAACTGTCTGGTTAATGGCTACAATGACACAATTAATTGCATGTTGGCGGCCATTTCCAGCACTCGAGAGCCTCAGCTGCCGCCGCTGCCAACGTGAATTAAGTTTTGTGCAAAAATTTAATATGCGGCCAATGCTAAAAATAAATTGCTAATTAGTGGGGAGATCCCCTTGAGGAAAGGCTGCCAATGACAGCCGCTCTATCGAAAATGCCACGAAAAAATCAGAATTTAGATACCATAGATGGGTTGTAAAAATGAACCCAGAAGCATTTTTTTTATATTTTACCAAATTTAACTCAAGTATACAGAACGAATATTTAAAACAGAAATTGTATTTATTTAATAAAACTATATAAAACTGCATAAAAAGCTTTCGTATGCATAAATTACTTTTTCCCAAGTTTTTTAATGAACAAAATGAATACATGACTGAATTTAAAATAGAGCAAAACTTTTGCAAACCTGTTAATAACTTTTGGCTTAGCTTCCCATGAGGCAATATCTCTCATTCCTTTTTGCCGACCTGGCGGCGCCGAAATGTCCTGTCCCGGGTCAAAGCGCACTTCCTTCGATTGTATTGTGTTTAGTCGGGATAAGGGAAGCTGATGCAGAACAGAACGCCCTAAACTGGAAAAGCTTTTGCCCTTCAGTCGCTCGCCTTCCACTTTCCTCCGGAGGGAAACTTTGCCAGCAGAAGGCAGCTCATAACAATGAAACTTTGCACGCTTTGGCAATTATGTGAGTGGGCCAATACACACAGACACACATATGACCCCATATCCTTTGGCAAATTAACCCACTTCTGGCATCCAATGTTTTCATAGCCTGCGTCTGCAGTTGTACAATTTTTATTCCGACTTATAAAGAGGGGTTTTTACTTTTCCCTCAACTTTCTTTAGATTGTTTCGTTAGGTTACCAACCAATTGGCCAACTTTTGTTTAGTTTCCATCGAGCTTGAACAGGATTCAGTCCAGTTTGAAGTCCTTTGATGGGTTCTCTTCACACCCCCTTGGAAAGTGCATTTCTGTGTTGAGTGAATTTATGTTTCACATATTTCTACTTTGGCGCTGGGTCGGTCAACTTGTAATATGCAAAGGAATTCCTGCACGCAAGTGCATTAGGGCTTTTTATTTCAGCACCATGAATATGCAACTTTTAGTCAGTCACTCGAAAAAAAATTTGCATTTTTTGGTCCGAAATTGCTGCTTGGCATGAGAGGAAAAACAAGAAAACTCTTGCCTCAACTGGTGGCTCATTAAAATGCTTTTGAGTCGCCAAAGTCAAGTTGCTAATGGTGCGCCCTCAAACGCATGAAAAGCTGGTAAAAGTTGGTAATGCGTTGCCCCGTCAAAAGCTTGTAACGAATTTTCCTCGTCGCAAGTCCAAGTAAAGGAGTGACCAAAGTCAGCGAATCGCACGACTGAACGCCAACCAAATTACGCTGCTCATAAAAAGCACAACGGAAAGTGGAGTGTGTGTCTTTGTTAGCTCCAGCATTTAGCGGCTATTAAAAATGTTGAATGTTGCCAGCTACAGATAATGAGCACACTCAAAACCCGATAGCGTTAAGTGAAAATGTGGCTTAAAATTCACCACAACAACAATTGCTTTAATAATTACGCATGAAATAGAGAAAGTTAATTTCAATTTAAAAACCGACATTTTATTGTAAAAAGATTTATAGTATTACATTCAAGGGTGTATTTTTTTTTGAAATAAAGCAATAACCAAGGCAAAATCCTCTTTATTGCATTTCAACTTGCTTCCCTATTTTTTAATAAAATTCCGTTGCCTTTCTCACTCGACCAGATAAAAGCTTTGGTTCCGCAAAGGATCTGTAACAAGATAGTTTGCAATGCCTCCCTGCGGAACAATTCGTCTTGTCCTTGTTCGTGTTCGTGTCCTTCGGCTAATGCGTAAATGCCTAATGAAACGCATCCCTGCCGAAAAGCGCAAAGAAGTTTTCCCCGTTTTGCATGCGACCACCCACATTTGCCGCCTATTTCCCAGGGAAAAGCCCTACAAGCCAGACGACAAGCTGAACTAAGGCGAGGACAATAACGACAGCGGCAAGGACAACGGAGCGGCAAGGATGCAGCGATGCAAGGATGCAAGGATGCAAGGATGCTGCCGCCCAGTGACAATAATTTAATTTAATGTGTTTGCATGCAGCGACAACAAGAACAACCTTAACCACCGAGGAGGATGCCGCTCTGCGTTCTGGGGCCCCAAGATAACTCACAATTTGTGGCCGCTGCAACTCGCGACTTGCAACGCACATCTTGCAACGGGGCAACGACAACCAAAGGCGGAATTTATGGGTCCTTCCGTTTGCGATTCCCCCTCCACCTTCCGAGGGCGTAATATTCATGCTGAAATTATTAGTGTAAACATTTTGCATTTAATTAATAATGCGCCCGTTGACAGCCGTGGCCACAAAAGTATGCAACGAAGTGGGGCCAACTTTGTTGCCAGTAATGCGATAATAATGAGGCATCGACTGCAAAAATAGAATTAAATTAATTTATAGGTCGGCAAGCTAATTGTACGAAGTCAAGCGATAAATGTCATTATTAAGACATTAATATTGGACAACTTTTATTCATGGAATAACTATTATTTAATTAGTGAAAAACGAATTTAATTACGTTACATTTATTAAATGAAGTCAAAAAGCTTATCAGCATAGGATACCTAAATAGAATTTTCAAGAAGCATTAAATGCTATTATATATTTCCAGAAAAAGCCTACCCCAATGAAAACTCAATTGCTAGCGGCCTAAATACCGAAAATCCCTTTCCCCTTCTTAACTCCCGATTGGGATCTTATCTCGCCTTTCTTCGCTTATGGTAGGGCATAAATTGTCTGGACAATTTCTAGACATCACAGTATAAAGCCTAATAAATATGCGACAACAACAGACGAACAAATAGAGATCAAAATAAGCTTCTGGCAAGAAAGAGAAGGAAAAGCCAAGTTAAATACGAAGATTGTTGTAAATTGAAACGAGGAAAGGGCAGTGGAACTGGGGACTAAAATGCGAAGTAATGAGCATAAAAATGCTAACAGAACCACAAAGAAAAATAAGGTGAGGGGGTTGTGAGTAGGTGCCAAGACGACCGTAAATCTTTTTGTGGCGCTTTCAAGGTAAAATAACAATTTAAGTTTATTACTCGGATAAAAGACAACAGTAAGAAAAACTCCCCCAAGAAGAAGAAAACGAAAAACTGGGGTAAAGGAGACACAACACTGACCATTGGGGGGCTGCTGGGAAAACCCCCGCACAAATCTATGATATATGACTGGGAGATATGTGCGTCAGTTGCCAGGACAGCTGTGGGGATTTGCTCGTCCTTACTTTCAGCTTTTATTTCATTTGGCCCACACACAAAAAGTTTCCTCAACCTAAAAGTAGAGGGCGAAAAATAAAGCAATGACAACAAGGCGGTGCGGCAAAATGTTGAGGAAGTCTCCGTGTCGCTTCCTTATGTAGATTGTCTCAGTTGTTGCTCGCTCTTATTTCATGTTTTTTTTTTTTCTCCGAATCTCAAAGACGGCCCCATGCCGAATTAACGGCAGAACTACCATGGAAAGTTGCTTGAAACAAACATGGGAGTGGAAAAATAAGTATCTTTCCATTTAGAAACTCCCAAAAGCGAGTTTGCATATGTAGAAATCCTTGATGGCAAGCGAGGTTCCATACGACTGCCTGGATAATTATTCTGACAAGCTTGTCGCCTTTAGTCTTCTTTTTATTGCCATACGCTTTTTGATTAATTTTCGATTTAATCAGAAATGAGTCTTTTAATAAAGCTAAAATGTAAAAATAACTTTAGAAAGTTCATAATAATAACGAGATTAACCATACAAATGTAATAATATTCTTATTAAGCTAATTCTGAAAAAAATGTCAATAATGATTGAATTGAACTTGAGTTATTAAAAATGACTCCCACACATTTTTATTTTAAACTTGTGTTTTAAATTGTATATTAATTGGGTTCAGAAAAACAAAACATTGTCTAAAAATATCCGGGTATCCAGACCGAAAATATCCCACCGTGTAATCTAAAGACACCTGTGCGTTGGCCGCCACCTTTTTGGCCAGCTCCAAATCGAGTGGAGTGGAGCAGGATGGAGGGCTGTGGAGTGGTGTCGGCCATACATGTGCGCCACTTAATGGCCAAAAGCAGTCGAAGGAAGTGGAGCAGCAGACGACTCGACTGCCGGCTGCTGGATCGTCCTGCCACTTTGACAGAGTGCTCCATGGACACGGAGCGTCCCAGTTTCTCCCCTTTTCCGCCCCGCTGACAAATCACAATTCGATTGTCTCTACGTGTCACTTACAGGACACGGGGGCTGCATTTAGGCAGCGTCCTTCCATTATACAATCAAGGTGCCACCTCTCAATTTTTCCTGCCATTTCCCCCTCCAACCAGCTTTCCTCCGGCAAACAAAGCAGTTAATGGCTTGCAAGTTGAAACAACGCTTTTGTGTGGGTGTTTTGGTGTGTGTGGGCGATTTTGGCCCTGCTCCACTGATTTTTCGGGGCCTTATATCAGTTTTAATGTCCTGGTTTTTGGCCACTGGCCGCTGCCATGGTTGCCATCCGTGTGGTTTAATTAGCGCTGTCTGCCAGTCAACCATGTGGACAAATTTGTACATTGGCCACCGTTGAGCGTTTAGGCCTGCTTTTCATTTGCCAGCCAACCGGTGTTCGTGGTTCGTGTTTCGAGTTCAATGATTGCCTTTCAAGGCAAATTGCTCTGCATTCAGCATTTGTCAAGTTAGCTGCCATTAAATTAATTTAAGGCTTAGCAGAACGGCATTTCCTAGAAAAATATTTAAATAACTTACTTTTAAATAAAAATGTACATACAATATTATTGAATATTTATATCTATTTATAGAACGAGAACAATTAACAAAATCGCTTTAGCAGAAATAAAAAAAATTTCTCGTATATGAAGAAATACTTTATGAAGAAAATAAAACTTTTAACACTGTAGTTTTAATTTTAAACCAAAACAGAAAACTAGTAAACAAAGTCTAGTGGAAAGCTCGAGAAAGCTCTCTCCCAATGGTGTCCTTTTCAGCCTGCTGAATGTGGACTCCAAGCTCGCTGATTTTTTCTTCCTTCCACAGAATCTCTTAAATCAAAAGCTCTCCCCGAAAAGCTCTCGCAGGGATGCTGTAATAGGCAGAGGTTCGCTGCCAACATCCTCGGAGCTCTGCTGCCACTCCGGGCAGCTTCGTTCGCTCCCCGATTTTTTCGTTACGGCCTCGTCGGTTTTGGCCTGATGTTGTAGTAGGTCCGGCCACCGTCGAAAGGCTGGCTAGTTAACCACGGCGTTTCAGTCAAGCTCCAGCATCCGTTCACTGAGGCGGCCCGATGCTGCCACGCTCTCCAAAAATCCCAGAGACGAGCAACGCGTTCGGTCGCGTGTCTGTGTGTGTCAGTGGGTGAACAGTGCGTATGAGCGATTTTCGGTGGCACTAAAAGGAGGCCCAAACCGAACCGGTGGACCTTAAAGTTGTTGGGTAAACAACGAAAAGTCGGTTACGCGTGGCGAGTAACGGGTTGCGGATTGAATAAACAAGGCCAAGAGCAAATGAAAAGTGTGCAAACTGTTGGAAAAGCCCTAAAAAACTGCCAGAAATTTCCGAGAAAAACCAAAGTTGAAAATGTAAGCTCAGCCTTATTGTGCTCCCCAGAAATATGTTACATATTGTACAAATTTACTCCATAACAAAAAAAAAAAAACACACACACATTTAATCTGACAAAAAGATGCACCTGATAATAACAAAATAACTCCCCCAATTAAAAAAAATACGAAACTAAAGCAAACATTCCAATAATCCAAATAAACAAAATTGTAGTTTCTACCGAAATACATACTTTTTATCTCAAAGACAAAAAAGTCAAGTTAAAATAAAACTAGAACCAAGTAATTGTTGAAGCAACAAACTCAACAACAAAATTCATGCATACAAATTTTTGTCGAAGAACTTTCTGTATTTCGGTGCAGGATTTTATTGATAAATTTTGAGGAAACTCCCTCCGGTACTGAATTGTGTTCGATTCTCAAGTATCCAGATAGTTGGCATAGTTTTTGCTCTAAATGCCGAGCGAAGGCCATAAAAACATATTGGCAACATTTCAAACTCTCCAAAGTTCTTTTACCTTTGGCCCAGTGCAAGACCCAAAACAACAGCACACAAACAGGCAAACAAACAGACTGGCAAACAAAAACCATTTCGCCCAATAAATCATTGAGGAAAAGCAGCAATAGCAGCAGGAAAACTTGTGAAGAAGATGAAACTTTTTTGCTCTATATATTTTTGTAAACGAAAAAGTGAGCAGCAAAAGTTGAGGAAGTCATAGGAATTAGTTTTGGAATATGACCGGACAGCCTGACGTATAAGTAATGCTTTTTCAGCTGCGCGATAGATTTTTATGTGAAACTATTTGCTGGAGAATTTGCATCAACTTCTGTTGGCTGTAATTGATGTGCATTCAGTATTTCAGAGTTCCCAGGGAAGAAAACTTAAATTTTGTGCCCAATCCTCGGGGATAAATCAAGTCGCAGGTTCGTTTACCTAATCGCAACACATTCGCAAAGCCATCTGGCCCGAAATCACAAAGTGGCCAGCAGACAGCAGACGCCCTGCAGGATATTTGAACTGAACTGAGCTCTGAAAATTTTCCGGCATCGTCTCTCATCAACTTAAATTGTGGGAAATTAATCAAGTTGAAAAGGTTTCTTCTGGTCTGCCTGCGAAGACGCCACAAAAGATTGCGCCTCGGGATTTTGGGCGGTTCGGTTGCCCTTTGTTTTCTGTTATTGTTATGGCCTCCAAAGTCTGGCTCTGACTCACAAGACAAGTCAACATGCGAAGGGCGAACCTTTTTTGTTGCTGCCAAAAAACCTTTGCTTTGCATTCAAGCGGAAATTAAAGCAACTGCACCGAAAGAAAATCTGTGAAATTGCTATGTGTTTCGGAAGTGATTTATTGATAAATTGTTTTTTTCGTTCTTGCAAGGAATTCAAGATATTCGGCACGAGTTTAAAGGTATCAAAGTGATTTTTGCAATTTGTAAGCGACATTGTTAATGTAAATTTATTACAAAAAAAAAATTCAATTTAAAAAACTAAACTAATTTAAATAATCGATTACAAATTGGTGAATAAAAAATAAGTGATTTCAATTTGAAACAATAATTCTAAATCGTTTTGATTTATTGCTAAAAGTTGTGGTTTTTCCTTTTATGTTCACTATGATTTATTGGATTTTAAAATGAAAATTATAAACGAAAACGGCTAAACGGAACCGATTGAATCATCAAAGTGAACCATAAATTGATATATGTTTTTTTATTGTGTGCTCTACAAGGCAGTGAAAGGAAAAGACCGTTGGGCGATTTTCCCCCACACTTTCTCAAATTGAAATTGTTTTCCTCGAAGCCTCGGGCCATCAGCCCATATAAAAACACACACACGAGCAAGGACACGTGTAACACTTTCTGCAAAGGAAAAAAGGACCTTAAAGCGTGCCTTAAACGCCAGCCAGAGTTTCATTTTTTTTCGCCTTTCTGGGTCAACGCCTGGTTGACATTTTAGCCAGGGCTCAGAGTTCATGGAAACCCTTTTTAATTAATACAGTCTGTGCAGCAGTGGCAATAGCAGCAGCACCACCAACCTCTCTCCAGTGGAAACCTCATTAAAATGCGTTCGAAAATGAGACCGCAGACTCTGAACATTTTGTGTTTGTGCAGCTCTTCTGCTGCGGCTTTAAAAGCGCGAAATCATAAAACGCCAGTTGATGAACTTTTATTATCAGTATTTTTTATGAGCCCCCTAATCGGTCCTCAGGTATTTAACATAATTAAATTAATTGGAGCGCTCGGAAATATGTCACTGGTTCTGAAAGGCTAATGAAATATGAAGACTCATTAGCTGAGTCAGTGCAAAAAGCGGATTCAAGTATTGGCTGATTACGTTTAAGCAGCTTGTGTGTGCAATTTATATGGATAAAATGCAGCTCTTCAAGTGAGCAACACTCGTGAATAAACCAAACATAAGCTCTTTAAAAGATAGACATTAGTACTTTGGCAAAAGCCGTCTGACTGGGATATTATTATTTGATTGAGACTTAACTGAAACTAATTGCCAGCATTTTGACTTCGATTGTAAACTATTATTCATGAATTTGCTACATGGCAATAAAGCCCACAAATTGATTTATTTGTGCACAGTATTAATTTGTTTGACTCGAAAATTTCCAAGCAAATATTGAATTTAAGCACAACGTTTTCTGTTTAATCTCCATTACACATTACGTTTTCCCAGGCCGTAAAGGAAAACAAGTGCATATAATATTTTTGCGACGCCCAATTTCCAAATAAACCATTTACGTTTTGCGTTGGCAAAAAACCATCAAAAATAAATGAAGCATAAATGCCAAGAGCACAAAAAAAAATAAAAAATTGTCGAGACTGAGGTATGTGAAGTGGGCGAAGTGATTTAAATTTTCTGTAATTTTCTTTATGGTTCCTTTTTTTTATTTTGTAAATCTCCAAGCGACAAACATTGCGAGGTGAAGGGAATTTTGGGGGAAGAGTAAATAGGTTTTGCGAGGAATTAGAAACACGAAGCGCCATTTGGCGGCAAAAATAACCGGAAGGAATTATAGCGGGCCTCGCCTGCCGTCTCCCTCGCACCGCCTGCATGCCGTCCCTTTCTAACGCTGGCATCCGCGAAGAGGAAATTAAATGTTTTACTGTCTGCGGTGAGAGATGAGAACACAATTATAATTTCATGCAGGCGACAGCAGGAAGAAAATACTTGGAATAAAATCAGCGAAAATGGAAAACATTTTCCCATTTTTTGCTGTTGTGTGGGTGTGGATGTTGCATTTTGGTTTTATGAGAATGTTTCCATATACACCCGGCAATGTCCTGTTAAGAGGATCAGTGGAAAAGGCGGAAGAGCATGAGGGAAATGGTTGCGGAGTGTGAGAAACTGAAAGGCGGAAGCGTGGAAATTAAGTAATACGCGAGGCGCAAAGAGCTTGGAATTAAATTAAAAGGGAAATGGAATGGCCATCAAGTGGAAAGGGATCTGGACTATAAAAAATAAAAGCTCTTAGCTTGTATTGCCGAATCGTTTGAGTTTTAAACGTTCGCTTTTTTTATGAAATTAAACTCAATTATAAAAAATATATTTTTTTTTCTACACTTTTTGCAAGCAAAATTTTGAGGTTCCAGAAAAATTAGAAATGACCTACCATTCACTTTAAAGACTCAGAAAAAGAACCAAACTTTGTAATTTAACCTACAGAACTTTTTGGACGTTTTCATTGTGTCAATAAAACAGCGACAAAACTTTTTTTATATACGAAAGCTCACACACCAAATATATTTTACTAATTCAATTTTTCTTTCTCTTTTCTCCATCCATTTATTCGCTCCTTTTTGCCACACCACAACAGAAGCATCAACATCAACCGGAAATCAACTAAATTGTCGTCACTCCAATCAAGTGGAAATTTGATTAAAAAAGGAGAGAAGGGAAGGCAAAAAAGAAAAAACCGAAGGGAGACCAGAGGAAAATTTGATAAATTTCGAAAGAAGGCAATAGACGAATGCGGAAGGAGAATAGAGTGCGGGTCTATCAAAAGGTAGCAGCAAAGGAAATCAACACGCACGCACATGAACGAGTTTTTTGCACGGGCACAGCAAAACATTAAAAACCAGCGGAGTGGAAAACTTACACAGAGCTCGAAAAAATATACAGAACCCCACGTGAACAAAGGGAACGAAAAAAATACATACATACACTAAAAATAAAAACACAAATACAACAGAGTAACCAAGTGAAAGAACAATTTTTAGTGAAAAAAATTAAGAGATTTCACTGGGGGAAGACCTAAGCCAGAAAAAAGAAAGGCGAGCAACAAGGACGAACCAGCTGACGGCCAGGACACATAAACGTCTTTCCTCTCCTTTGGCGTAGAGCACGAAATTAAGTGCAGATTATCAGAAGATTATATTTTAATAGCATTTCAAGCTGTTTCCTTTGGCCAACAAAGGCGATACGCCAGGACCTCCAGGACTCGCAACGAATACTGACCCCCCGTGTGTGAGTGTGTGTGTGCTACAAGTGCGGCTTATTGCATGATTACCGCCAAGGATTTTTTTCGGGCCTCCGTCTCAGGACTCTGTTCCCTGGAATAGCTAAGCAAACATATAAGCGTGCCAGAAATTGAAATTAAAGAAGGAATTAAGTGTCGCGAGTGTGTGTGTGCTGGCTTAATAAATATTATGTGCTAGTGTCTGTGAGTGTTTGTACACTAAAACCCAAATATCGAGTATACGCCGTGTGCTGCAACCAAGGGGAAGCTTACGAGGATAGCAACAGGTATGTTCAAGATACAATCTTATCTATTCGCTGAAAAGCTCTTGTACTTAGTGGTTTTATTTTCTTATTTATTTATTTTCTCCAGACATTTGAAGAGCGAAAAAATAAAGGAATGTGTACAAGAAATTAAATTAAAAGAATAGAAAAGTGGCAAGCCTCTGCTGCTCTTAAATACCATTTAAGATTTGAGCAATTTTCCAGAAGAGAGCAACATTTTCATCAGACTTTCGCACAATCCTCCGCAATATCTGCAAGTCATTCAGCAAAGCCCTTTTTGCCAACCGCCAAAATCCTAAGCCACAACAACTTCGTGGCCTGCACTCGACTGTTAATTAATGCCAACCGACTTTCCGCTGCAGCATATTTAAAAACGCATTAGCTCTTTTGGCCGCTTGTGCGGACCGAGGCTGTCATAATTCTAACCGAGCATTAGGGAGCATAAAGAACGCAAATATCTTTTACACATACCAACACATTCGGGGCACAATTCTTGTAATTACTTTAAATGCAAACGAACGCGCTGCGTTGTTCTCTTCTGTTCGTGAATGGAATGGAGCATTTCCCTTCTTTTCCTTTCAATTTTTTTTTTTTTGTCGTGGTATCCCGGGCCGGCATGTGTTGCTAATTTCATTTTGCGGACAGAGGAACAAAGTCACAGTGGGTGGAATTTGGTTGGTGGGTGTGCGGCCACTGCCATTAAGTCGGAGGAGTCGCAGAACGAAACTTTCATTCACGTGCAGGGATAAGGGAGATTCTGGTATTGCCACATCCACCTGACAAAGCAGGACACTGGCAGAAATGTTGGGACTAGGATGGAGATATAAAATGTGTATTTACTAAATACGAAATAACTATTGTTTTGTATGGTCTTAAATTATTTATTATAAAACTAGTTTTTGTGATTGCATAATTCGTAGTATTAAAAGAACTCCTTTAAACGGTAACCACTTTTGAGCACCTGAGCTTCAGAACAGCCTTACCAGCTCAATTCTTTCCCCGAGTGTAACGATGATGAGACCTACTGCCTCCTGCTGCTGGAATGGTCCATTGTTGTTTGTTGTTTTAATGTTATTTGCCTGGCTGCCAACGTCGTCTTTGGAATCTGTCACCGTTTTACGTGACAATACAGCTGCAACTTTGTGTCCTCCGCTCGGTGGACCTTGGTGTGCGACTGCGGTGGACCGCTGCGGTGATGAGGTGGCTTATGAGGTGGGTGGCCTTCGGGTCGCCTGGTGGCCGGGTTGCCAGGTCGCCAGGTATCCAGCTGCTCACTAGAGCTCCTTGGCGCTCCGCTGACCCTAAGCCAGCTTGCTGTTGTCGCATTGCGTGGCTGCTTACCTTACTTTACCTGTGGTTCGCCTCGCCTCGTCTCGCCTCACCTGACAAAACTTTAACACAAAAATTTCATTTAAAAGTTTCGCTCTCGCTGCCTTTTGGCTCCATTTGGACCTACGCCAGATGCTTAAAACTTTCTGTCCCGGGAAACGACAAGGGCCCTTCTTTTATGGCAACTTTAGCAAATGGACATTGAGGTCGTTGTAGGACTTTGGGTATTTTCTTCGTCATAAATATCGCCGGCAATTCCTTCCAGTCCTCGGACACTCTATTAGCATTGGCAAGCCAAGGCAGCGAGTTCCTGCCGAGGACGTTTTTAATGCGCCTCCTTTGAAGTTGTGAAAATTGTTGTGAGTCCTCGGCGCTGAAAGGAAAATCAGGGAACTTGCTTTCGAGATCAAAGTTGGCGATTTGGCTAAACTATTTTGTATTTGCGGGTACTTGACTGCATTGTGATAATTAAAGTTCGTTTTAAATTTTCAATTGCGCGATGCGCGCTCTGCTATGCGAGGAATTTTTGCAGTTTTTCTAGTTGGATTCGGTTAAATTGGTTTTTCGGTTTACGCCAAATAAAACAGATCCCAGTAAATTGTTTAACCTTGTTTTTTCACGCGCATCTCAGCTGCACTTAATACGAATATTTATTTAACATCTGTTGTTTCAACTTGTTTGTTATTGTATCTGCCGTCGCGTGACTAATTAAACTGTTTAATGGCATAAATTAAAGCCACATTGGCCTTGTTCAACTCTGGCTGTTTATTTGACATGAAAAGCTGAGCAAATATATCAAGCATTTGTTTAGCATTTAATGTGGAGAAGGCGCTTGATTGAGTTAAATTTAAAATTAAATAATTAATAATGTTTCTGAAATCATCGCAAGGAAGGAAGCCATTGATAAAAACATTCAAGCGTAAAATTGTTTTGTCAACCTATGCTTTATTCAAAGTAAATATTAATTTTCCAATAAATTCTTTTATTTGTATTGACACACATTTATGGATGTCACACAAAAAATTATTATCTGAGTGTCTGATGAGTGTATAGTGATATCCTTTTAATCTGTAAAACCATAAGAGAGTATCTATCTTTGTTCAATATTTATCGACTGGGAATTGACAGAGCCCCGGGTGCATTTTCGTAAAACGACACGCTGTGAAAAACTCGAACTGGAATCACTCCTTCCAACCGAAGGGGATCCTTAAAGCACTGCCACTGCTTCATGACGCAGTAAACACTTATTAGACGCTACGGGACGAGGATGGGGACGAGGACCAGGACACAGGACACAAGATACGGAACACAGGACTCAGAACTCCGGACAGAGACCCCAGGCAATGGAGCGTGCTGCTAAGGAGTATTCAACTAATAAAAATGTCAAAACGCATGAAGCTGATGACAAGTAACGCAAAATGACAGCACAGTCGGCTGACAGAATGGCAGGACTAACATCTTTCCACTGAGAAGAAAACAACGAAATTATTTTGTGTTAATTCCAGAAACAGAATAGAAAACTTATCAATAATAAATGATAAAAAATACAAAACAATTTTATGTTTAAAGATCTTGTAAATATTATTCTTGGTTTTTACAAAATTATACAACACACATTTGAAGTTATTTTTTTCACCCTGTAGAGCCCTCGTTTTAGGTAGGGAACAACTTGAATTCATGGCTTGTCGCATGCGGGCTTCAATGTCCCAGTGCGGGCAGCAATTTGCCACACCTGCTGGGTGTGTGTGTGTGTGTGTGTGTGTGTGTCTGTGTGGCAGCTCTCCCCGCTCGGCTTTCCACCCGCAATCCTAGGCTTCCCCCAGCTAAACTTTCACAATTAAAACTTGGCACTTTTGCTCGCTCGCTGCGCACGCACGATTCGCATTCTCGCATCGCAACGCACCGCTTCAATTTTGGTGCGCTCCCCGCTGTTTGTTTATTGGATTAAGTAGATTTATCATATCAGATGGCAAGCGCTGTCTAAATTTATCCGCAGCCAAACTGCCTTCACCATTACTGAAACACATATCAGGCGCAGAAGACTTCTCGTTTTTAATTACGCCGTTTTTTCCACCGAGATCACGTACAAAAAAAAAAAAAAATGCGTTTACTGGCAAAAGTTTTCTTTCCTACGTGTCCTGCCAACAGGCATTTTCAATAAATTTTCCTATGCTCGTGGAATTAATAAAAACACAGAAAACTTTTGCACTTGGCCTAGCTGCAGAAGGTCAAAGCTTGAGATGAATTTAAAACTTGAGTTCAGAAAAGAAGTGCAAACACTTAAGGGGTTATATACCTTTTTCACCAGAGAAATACATGGTTTTTATTTATTTTTTTTTTAGCATGTTACCATTGTTTTATTTAAATTCAATAAAAATTTTATCAAAGTACGTGTCCTTAACTTAATTCGTATAAAATTTCGAGTGAAAATTTTGAGTATTGTGGAAGTTATAGTCCTTCCCGCAGAAGTCCTTTTTTCATTAGAGGCTTGCGGTGAGCATGAAAACAAGAAAACGGCTCAACTTAAAAAAAAATGAAAAAAACTATGTTAGTATATAGTGTTACCTAGTTCGTGAACGAAGGATTTTACGAAAAAAATTTTTTACAGTTACAGTGATTATTTTTTCAAAAAAACCGATTTTTCGAGGTCTAATAATTTAGTTTTTCGCCCCAAAAAAATAGAAAAATTTGTCGAAAAAAATTCCTTCGTTCACGAACTAGCTATTGTATCTACAAACAATCCCCCAAAATTTCAAATCGATCGATGTAGTGGTTACCGAGATATCGTGCTCACCGCAATGACCTTTTCTCAAAAATGCGACTCCGAGATAATCGCGTTTAAAGTTTTAGGTGGACATTAGGTAGCCATGTTCACCGTGCGCTATGAACGGCTGTATCTTAGGTTCTAGTGCCCCGATCTCTAAAAAAATTTTGCAGAAAAATTGTTGAAAGTATGTACATCAAAAAAAAAATCATAAAATTTTTTTCGATTTTTTGAGTCTGAAAAAGGTATATAACCCCTTAAATACCGAAAAAGTTAAATGTTCTTAAAGGCTTGTTAACCCGTTTTAAATGCTTTTCAGTTCAAAGTGACCTATTTTACAGACTTACAGCAACATCTAAATGTTCGTCCAGGTTTTAATTCAATTTAAGCACAAACTCCGCTACAGAATCTATTCATTTTTGTCTCCTGGCAGAGGAGATCAAAACTTCACCCGACAACTATATTTCATGCGCTTTCATGTGGCGCGGTCGCACGACATCAAACACACCGAACACGCGGCATATGCGCCATATTAAGTATACGCCCACGTGACACACGCCCTGGGTGCTGGCCCCAATTTCTCAGCGGAGCTCGAGGCTCGTCTGTTATTTAAACACAACAATTAAAACGATTTTGCGAGCGCGCACACACACACACACACACACAGAGTCACTCGCTCCGGCTTTGTTGGCCCGGTTTATTTAGACGCAGGCATGTAGACATAACATTCAGACCAGGAACAGAAACAAGCAGCACAAAACTCTGGCTGAAGCAGAGCAAATTGAATGAACACGCGTCCCGAAAACCGTTTAATAAACACAAAAGCAACAGCAGCAGAAACAGAAGCAGAAACTGAAGTTTTGGCCCAAAAGCGAATCTTGACTGTGGCTGTGGCCCCTCGTATTTTTTT